AAGGCTCGGAAGTCCCCCGGCCTTCTGAAAAGCTTTCTAAGCCTTTCCCGAAGATAAGAACAAACAACTTCTCAGAAGGCACGAAGGCTTCTGAGAAGTCCTGCCACCTTCTGAGGAGGCCTTCTCCTTCTCACTTCCCCCCCCTCGCTAGCCGCCGAGAGGCAGCAGGGGAGCGGGGCAAGGGAGATACCACCGCATCTGGGAGAACCTTCGAATGTACCGATGCTGCTGCTCCTGAGGCCTCTCCCGGGGTGCGTTCCGACCAGACCTTCGAGGCGAACCCCGCGGTGGTGACGAGGGCCTCCCGGGAGGCCCAGACATGCGAAAGCGAGGCCAAGGCACGACGGGACCTAGGACGGAATACCATCCTTCAAGAACATGAGACCTGCCGCCGTCTTGGCGGAAGAACGCTCGATGGGTACGCTCCCCCAGGATGCGCAAGAACACCAGAAAAACACGAAGAGCATTATGATTAACCGAAAACCCCTAATCCTTTAGGAGGGAACCTAAGTTAGGAGGGCCAAGCACATCAGGCATCTGGGGTCTTTTCTGCAGAGGTATCGAACCAAACCCGCCCAGATGTACTATCCCTGCTGCACAGACGGGGACCTCAGTGAGGCTACGTCTTGATCTTGTGATTAGGGGTTCTTGTATCACCGATGGCATTCGGGCACCCTCCCCGAACCGACCGCCGCTGGGGCTTGTGGTGAACCCAGACCCACGTTTCTCCACCACGTCGACCCCCAGAAGTCTGGGCCTTAGTGGTCCCCGGAAACGGCAGGGCCGTTTTTTCACCGTTTCCGACAAAATGCCCCTTGAAAATGGAAACGGCAAAAAAACGGCGACCGGAAACGGCAGCAAAAACGGCGCCAGGATTGGAGCCGGAGCGGCAACCCGTGAAAGAACGGCGACGGAACCAGTAAAAAAACGGCGTCGGAACCGGCAAAAGAACGGCAGAACGGAACTGGTAAAAAAACGGCCCTGTCGTTTCCAGGGCCCGCTGAGGTCTGGACCCCTTCCCCGGGGACCGGTTCTTCATCCCGAGTCGTTGTTTGACGGCCCCGAGGCCCGGGCGAGGGCCCCCGGAGGCCGAGAATGGCGAAACACCTGGGGTCGGGGCGCCATCCCCGAATCGACCTCGATCTTCTGCCCCGGGCCGGCCTCCTCCTCCTCTTCCTCCTCCTCCTCTGCCTCCTCCTCCTCCTCCTCCTCCTCCTCCTCCTCTTCCTCCTCCTCCTCCTCCTCCTCCTCCTCCTCCTGCCCCTCCTTCCCTCTAAAGATTCTCTGGGGGCCTCTGAAGAGCCCCTAGAGGGGCGGAGCAGGGCCGAAGAGCTCGAGTAGGGGATCGACTACAGAACTGATTGATTCACTGGTCCAAGTAAAGATCTGGGATTCTAAAACGCCCGGTTAAATATTGCTCAAGAACTTACAAAGCCGAGCCCGGGTTACCACAAACTTCGTTCTGACTGGACCGGCCAACTGGCCCCACCCTGCGCCCGAATTCCTCTTAGATTATCTAGCCGAAGAGCTCCACGAGGTATGAGAAGCCTGCAGCGCAGGGCAGGCCAGCTCCTCTCCAAGGCTCCGGGGCAGGCATCCGAAAATTGATGTGTCCGTCGACACTACGAAAAGTGCGTATACTGTTCGCAGGATCAACAGACATTCTGCGTCTGTTTTTGGGTATGCTCGACGAGAAAATCAGGCTCGGGGTAGATCGATTCTGTGGTCGATCCCCTGCTCGCAGAACCATGGCGCGGCGCTGGGGCCTGCAGGGCCGCGCGAGCGGTCGGGGCGCTCGGTGCGATGAATTAATTCTTCAGACCGCGTATTGGCGCCAGAGTGTGCTCGCCAGCCGAGGCCCTTCTGTGCGACGCAGGCGGCGTGGCGAAGGCCGACGCAGGCGGAGTGTTTTGAGGGAAGCTGTGCGAGGGAGAGCACACACCGGCCCAGCACGCGTGCTTGAGGGTCGTCGAGCGGTGCGCCCAGAGCGGGGCGGTCTCACTAGCAGTTCTGACGTACAGTTTTGCAGAGGCCTCCCACGAGACCCCCAAGAGGCCACTAGTTCGAGCCTTCCGCCCCAGGAGGCCCCAAGCCGGCCCCCAAGAGGCCTCCAAGCTGCCTCCAAGAGGCTCCCCGCGAGATTCCGATCCCAGAGGCTTGTAAACCACAGTCCATGCACGGTGGCGGGATGGGCCGAAGGCCATCCGATCCGCCGCCCCCTTCTTGCAGGGGTGCACGGCGTGCTGGATGTTTCAGGTTTTGGTTTTGGTTCTTTTTCCAAAAGAACTCCCCAGTGGGCTCCGGCAGAACCCGCCGGCCACCCGGAAGGCCCCCAAACGTGCTCAACGACCGGAAAAAATCCTCCAAAAAACGGCCGTTTCGCTCGGGACATCCTCAACAAATCGCGAAGATGGCCCAAGATGGCCTCCAAGTCCGCCCGAGATGGTCCAAGACGGCCTCCAAAACGGCCCAAGAGAGTCCAAGACGGCCCAAGACGGCCCAAGAGGCCCCCCAGAGGCCTCCCAGACGGCCCAAGAGGCCTCCAAGAGGTCCTCCAGGAGAGTCCGAAGAGGCCAAAATCATTGATTTTTCATTGGTTTTTGAAGGATTCTGGCATTTGCGCCTTTTCGGCTCTCCGACGGCTCGAGACGGCCCAAGAAGCCCCCAAGATCGCCCAAGAGGCCCCCAAGAGAGCCCCATGATGGCCCAAGTGGCCTCCAAGATGGCCCCTAGAGGGCCCCAAGAGGGCCCAAGAGGCCTCCAACACGCCCAAGATGGCCTCCCAGACGCCCAAGATGGCCTCCAAGACGGCCCTGGAGCATTCCAAGCGGGCCCCAAGTCGGCCCATAGAGGCCCCCCAAACGGCTTCCGACGGCTTCAGACGTGCCAGGAACCCACCAAGATGGCCGAAGTTGGCTCGAAGCTGGCCCGAGACGGCCCAAAAAGCCCCAAAGATCGCCCAAAGCTTGCCCAAGAGGCCTCCAAGACGGCCAAGATGACCTTCAAGATGCCCACGTGTTCCCCGAAGGCTTTCCAAACCGATTCGGGGAACACGTGGTCCGATAGCTTGGCAGGTCTGGCCTCAACGTTCGGCCACATAGGCGCTTCCAAAAAGGCAGGGGGCGGCGGTGATTCGCCGTAGGCGTCTTCGATAGTTTGTTTAGGGGACCGCGTGTATATACATATATATATATATATACACACTAAGGTATCTGGGCCCTGCCCCATGGGGTTTCGCAGCAACGCCACAGGGCAACGTAATTTGTTGGCCGGTTCTCCAGGCGACAGGTGTTGAACATAGATACATGTGTAATATGTATCTAAATATACACACACTGTGTTTGGGCCGCCATTTGCCACTTAGTGGTTGATAAACACAACATAGAATAGTCCACATGTGCATGGCCCCGAGTTTTCCACCTCTGGGATGGGCGTGCTTCCATCGGGTCCTTTTCCCTCCCTCGGGCCATTTCCACAGCTTCCCTCGGGCCCTTCCCCCAGGGGCCCTGGGCAGAGCGACCCTGGAATGAAACTGCTGATCCTTGCAGACGATCCCGCGATGCCCTATGACAAATAGATTTGGCAGAGACCCTGCAAATCCCTGAGATGACCCTGCAACCCCCTGCAATCCCCTCCGCCCCCCTGCTACCATTCAATTTTTTGATCCGCGGGTCGAGAGCGCACCTCTTCCGGTCGAAGCTAAGCGGGCCGCGCACAGCTTTAATTAACAGAGGGGGGAAGGCAGAAGGAGGGGCCTCACGTCAAGGCCAAGAGGGGGCAAAGCCCCGGAATCAGGCGGTGCCTGAGGCGATGTGCATGCAAAGGATCGCCTTGTACAAGAACCCGGCGGCGAAGTACCGGAAGAAGCAAAATGCTGTGGTGGTGGTGCCGTCAGCGGCGCGTCATGTACATCAGCCTCAAGTGGCCGCGTCCCTGCTACCATACAGGCACAGCCCTCCCCCGGACACATGTCGCCTCCCGCCCGTGACCCCCTGGAACCATGTGGGAACCCATCCAGGATGGGGCAGTGGCGATACGCAAAGAGTCTGCAGCACTTACACGATTTGTAATGCGAGGCGGGGATTTATCCCTATCCACCGCCTGGGAAGCAACGCCTGGGGGACCCGGCAGGCGGTGGGTATATCCATATCGACCGCCTTTGGTGGTCCGCGGAAATCGATCCTCCAGGCGGTGGTCATGTGCAAATCCCCGCCGCGAATGCAAGAAAGCCTCAATGCAAACACTGCTGGGGGAATTGTCGACATCAGTATCGGCGCGGCTTCCGCAGGTCCGCGTGCAGCGACCATGCTCGCCCTCTTCTGGCCACGCAGCGAGACGCCGGGAGCCCCGAGACGTGCATGACAAGTCCCTACGCGGGAAGCGAACAGGTCATCCTGAGAGTGAACATCGTTTATCCCACCCCTGTCCCCAACGGCCTGGCCTGGGCCCCACTGGCCGACTTGCCCCCCTAGATGGGGATGTAGGCTGCTCCGTTCGCGCTTCGAAGGGTCTATCCCCAACGGGGGTGCTGAGGTGGGGGTTCGGATGGGGATGGAGACGGTGACGCGGGGTCGGGTAGACGACACTGAGGATCCCGAGAGGAGGCGGCCTGCTCGTGAGTCTGGCCCTTGGCCTGAAGCCCGCACGCGGGACGAGGAAGATGAGAGGAGCAGCTCCGGGCGGCGCTGGCGAAAAAGACAACGACCTGGTGCCCTTCGAGCAGGAGGGCAATCTGGTTGGTCCCAAAGGGGGCCCAACTGAAAGTGGGTGGTGCAAATAGATACGGGGCAATAGTACTGCAGATGTTTTGCACCAGAGAGCTGTGCTGCATTGTATTGCAGCTAATGCATTGCACGCGGAAATCTAGCAATACATTTGCGCACCAGAATGTACTGCACGCTCCAAACGTAATCTATTGCACCAAATCTATTGCACCACCCTCTTCCAACTGGACCCGCTTTTGGGTCAACCAGAGCAAAGCAGACCTCCACGGCAAGTCATCAAGACTCACTTCTGCTCAGGCCGCTCTCGTCGCCCATCTCCAGGTCCAGTGGGGGCAGGCCTGCCTCTTTGCGCCGGAACGCCTCTACGATGCCCTCGTCCGTCAGCCGCATCATGCCCTTCCGGTCGAACTCGAAGAGCCTTGGGTCGACGCCGTAGTAGCTGGAGTACCTGTTTGCGAGGCGGGAATTTATCCATATCCACCGCCTGGGAACCGACGTCCTGGTGCCCCAGCGGGCGGTGGATATGGATATATTTCGGCCCCTGGGGGCCCGAATATGTCCATATCCAGCGCCTGCCGAGGCTCCGAACACTGACCATCCAGGCGGTGGATATGGATGAATTCCCGCCTCGGATGTTACTCCTTTGATGTTTTGGTTTTCGGGTCATGGCTCGGGCCTCCGGCGGCCATTCGGAACGACCTGGGCACCCCCGGCACACCTTCGGCGAGGCGCAGCCACTGGAAGGCATCTCGAAGCTGGAGGGCCGCCGAGGATCAACGAACACGTCCGGCGTCCTCGAAACTCGACCCCCCTGACCCACAGCTCGCGCGAGCGGTATTTCGGAGCTTCAAGACCGCGTGGGTGACGAACCGCGTGGTGGCCTCGGAGTCCCCCACGACCTCACCGCGCAGTCCGTCACCATACGGGTTTGGGACCTCGCAGGCCCAAACCGCCCGAGACATCTTCTAAGAACGGCCCGAGTCCCAAGACCGTGCGGTGACCTTGTGCTGAGATAAGGTTCTACTGCGGCTGGATGGGCTTTTGTGCGGCCCGGTGGGCTTCAGTACTGCCAAGGGGTCTCCTGAGTGTATGAATCCTTGAGAACGGTGAGGCGGGCTCAGAAGAGCCTCGTCGGCCCCCCTGAAGGCTCCCTGAAGAGCGTCTTGCCCCCTGAAGAGCCTCCCGCGCCCCCTGAAGAGCTTCTTGGGGCCTCTGAAGAGCCTCTTGTGGCATCTGGAGAGCCTCTTGGGGCCTCTGAAGAGCTTCTTGGGGTCTCTGAAGAGCCGCTTGGGGCCTCTGAAGAGATTCTGGGCGGCTTCTGAAGAGCCTCTTGGCCCCCCTGAAGAGCGTCTTGCCCCCCTGAAGAGCCTCTGGGCCCCCCTGAAGGGCTTCTTGGGCACCTCTGAAGCCTCTGGGGCCCTTCTGAAGAGCTTCCTGGGGTCTCTGAAGAGCCTCATGGGGTCCCCTCCTCCCTCTCAACTCCCTCCTCCCCCTTCCCCCTTCCACCTCCCTCCTCCCTTTCCCTCTCCCTGCTGCTGCTGCTGCTCCTCCTCCTCGTTCTCCTCCCCCTCCTCCTCCTCCTCGAGCGGCCACGCGACTTGCAAACCAGCCGCCCCATCCGCAACAGCAGGAGGGCTTTCCGCTGACGCAGGAGGATGAGGATGAGGAGGAGGATCAAGAGGATCAGGACAAGCATGATTTTTGTGCTAATGCCAATCCTGTTGCTGATGATAATGATGATGTTGCTGATGATGCTGACGGTGCCGATGCTGATGATGAAGCTGAACATGATGATTAGGGGGACGACGACGACGCCCCCGACGACGACGATGACGATGACGATGACGATGATGATGCTGCTGATGATGATGATGATGATGATGATGATGATGATGATGATGCTGTCGAAGATGAGGTTGAGGATGAGGATGAGGATGATGATGAGGAGGATCAGGAGGATGAGGACGATGAGGATGCTGCTGATGATGCTGCTAATAATGATAATGATGATGCTGCTGATGATGGTGGTGGTGGTGATGGTGGGGATGCTGCTGATACTGACGACGACGACGATGCTGATGGCGATGCTGATGCTGCTGATGATGCTGATTATGATAATGATAATGATGATGTTGAGTATGGTGATGATGCTGATGATGGTGATGGTGCCGAAGATGATGTTGATGATGAGGATGACGCTGATGTGTAGGATGCGGATGATGATGATGATGATGATGATGATGATGATGATGATGATGATGATGATGATGATGATGATAATGATGATGATGATGCTGATGATGCTGCTGCTGATGACGGTGGTGGTGGTGATGACGATGGTGGTGATGATGCTGCTGCTGATGATGACGATGATGATGACGATGATGCTGCTGATGATGATGACGATGATGAGTCTGAGTGTGATTCCGATTCCGATGATGTCGATGACGATGATTACTTGATGATGACAAGGAGGAGGAAGGGGAGGGGGAGGAAGACCAAGCTGAGGGCGAGGACGACGACGACGAGGAGGAAAAGGCAGTAGGAAAGATGAGAACGAGGATGAATAGGAGGAGGAGAAGGAGGAAGAAGAGATGGAGCAGGAGGAGGGAGGAGGCCGGAGGATGTAGCGGTGGATGAGGTGGAGGAGGCGAGGAGGAGGAGGTGGAGGAGGCGAGGAGGAGGAGGAGGAGGCACGAGGATCATGTAGCAGGAGGAGCCGCCATAAAGGTAGACAGCAGGAGGAGCTAGCAGGAAGGGAGGCAGCAGGAGCTTCCAGCGGGAGGAGCATAGTGCGGAGGGACAGGAAGAACAAGTAACAGCGAGGGGGAGGAGCGGGAAAAGGTAGGAGTGAGGAGCCATGAGAAGGAACATGGGTGCCAGGGAGATGATGAAAAGGAAGAGGGATGAAGGGAAATTGCGCATGTGATGTTGACAAGTGCGAGACGTGGGGAGGATGATCATGACGGGGAGGGCGAGGATGAATATGATGATCGTGATGCTCAGGAGGACGATTGTCTCGAGCACGTTTCTCGAACAGTTTTCCAGCGCTGCACACACCCTCGGATATGCAGCTGGGCTTCTCACGTTGTTCAAAAGCGATGTTTTTGAATCTTGCGTAGAAGATTGGCACAACTACTACTAGATTGCTTCCAACGCGCCTCCAGATGGTCCTTTGTGCGGCCACCTTTTTCTGAGCGGGAACGCAAACCCTTAAGGGTTGCCAGGATTTCCAGAGCGAAGCAAGGGAATCTTTACATACTCCTTTGAATTGAAAGGTAAGCGCGGGTTCGCAATACGACTCATCCAGCCGCGCGCCGGGGCCGCACAAGAACCCAACGGGCCGCACAAAAGACCAACGGGCCGCACAGAAGACCAGTCGCGAATCCCTCGGACTCACCACGCGGTGGGGTCACCATACTGTTTTTGGGAACGGCGAAATAGTCTGGTTTGTGTGGCTCCCGTCGTACTTGAGGACCGAATCCAGGAAATAATTTCGAGCACCCCGAACAGTGTCGAAGCAATGTCGAACCAGTATCGCCTCCCAGGGCCCGAGGCGTGAAAAACTTCCAGTTTCGGTACTTTCTTGGTGCTCGAGATTCTTTCTGTTGGAACATCATAAGTCTGGTTTGAGAAGGGTGATTTGGACGGCTGCTGGGGCGCCCCAGGTTTAGGTCGGGCATGTCCCCCCACAGGCGGATTTTGGGCGAAACATTAGAAATACGCAAGACATGTCCCCAAGGCAAAACTGACTAAAACAATCGTCCCCAGACTATCTTTTTTTATATTTATTTTTTTGATATTCCTCCTGTAGAGGGACGGGCCCGACTGAAGGCTGAGGTAGGTTGGAATCTAGTAAATCTCGTTTGAGAAGGCTGATTCTGACGGCTGCTGGGGCGTCTCAGGTCGAGCCCGGGGGACTCAGGTCGGGCCGAGCGTCAGGTCGGGCATGTCCGCCTACAGGGGGATTGGGGAGGACACGTACAAACATAGTCCACAGATGTTCAAAAACATGCTACACAAATGTTCACAAAGTCGTCTCCGTTCCATTATTTTACACCTTCCTCCTCTAGAGGGACAGGCCAGACTTATGGCTAAGGTAGGTCGGAACATCATGAGCCTGGCTTATCGGGAGCGGCCAAGGGGGGGGTGTCCAAGAGGGGGGGGTGCAAATCATGACCGGCGGCACGTGCGCGGCCCAGCGGGGGGGCCAGGGACGTAATGGAATAAACAGAGGCGCCGTGAACTCTGAGGAAATATCACGGCCACCGCCGTGATATCCCCCCCCCCCCCCTAGTCATCACCCTCCTCTTTGCCGTCCCCGAGTTTAGGAAGGGTGCTTTGGACGGCTGCTGCCCGGGGCTCAGGCCGGGCCGAGCGGCGCCTCGGGCCTCGCGAGACGCACCCTCCACGCTTGCTGCCATCGGCTCCTCCTGCGGCCTCTGGGGAACCGCGTCGCGACAACCAGAAACGGCGTCGGACGGCTCAGGTTCTCCTCGCCCTCTTCCCCTCGGCGTCCCTCCTCCTCCTCCTCCTCCTCCTCCTCCTCCTCCTCCTCCTCGCGAGGCACCCTTGTCCAAGGTGTTCTGTGCAGAATGGAAGGACTAGCAGCATAAGCATGAACTGTTAACGGTCCGCGCTGATTTCCTGGATCTGAACTGGACCCCCTTCCCTGGCGCGGCGCCGGAGGCGCCGCCAGACGGGGCCCAGCGCCGGTCCAGGGAAACCGCGCGGAAGGCCAACACGTTGTGTTTATGCCGTCTCTTGGCTCGAATTTAGGAGCTCGGAGAAAACGCGTTCCACGGGCGCTTGCCTTGGGAACATTCGGCGGCGCGTTTCGAACCGGGGGGTGGGCCCCCCAACACTCGGCGCCGTCGATCAAAACCAGGGGGGCTCCCCTCCCCCCAACCCCCCCCCCCCCTGCCGACCCCCCCCCTCTCCCAAGGGAGGAGGGGGTTTCACCCCCCCCCCGCCCCCCGGCGCCGGTGCTGGCGCTGGCGGCCGCCAGCAGCGCCGGCGGCGGGGACGCAGCGACGATGACCAGAGGCAGCCCCCTGGCGCCGGCGCCGGCGCTGGCGGCGGCGGTACGTGGCGTTACAAGCGTTTCGTGGAAGTGCGCGTTTAGAACATATTTTGACAAACTTCTCTGCAATCCATTCATCAGGCGGAAATTGAGTTTCTCAAAATTCCGCTTGTCGCCGCGGCCGATTTGGAGAAACTCCTCTGCGGGCCGATAATCAAGCGACTTTGGAGTTTCTCGAAATCAGTGTCAACCAAGCAATTTTGAGAAACTCAGCGGTTTTCGATGAGAGGGGACGAGGGGGCGGAATTTCGGGAAACGCCTGCATGGTCAGTTTTCAAGCCGCGGAGCGGTTTCTCGAAACTGCGCCCCCCCTCGCCCCCAAACGGGGGATGTCGAGAAACTCCCGCGTGGTTAGTTTCTAGGCC